TACTGTCTGAGATAATTTCGGTGTTCCTTCACTTTTGTCCCCACTGATTCTCATTCTGAGGATCTTCCTGGTTAATGTCAAACTAACTTGTTAATTGTTTTTTTAAGTCCCTGATTTTCTTCATATCTGCCCCTGCAATCAGCATGTCATACGCATACAAAAGAAGCATGATATAACAATTGTTGAAGTGTTTGAAGAAGCAACAGTGGTCTATCGACACTTTAAGTACCCATTTTTTGACATAAATCTGTCAAATCTTTTGTATCACTGTCTCGGGGCCTGCTTCAAGCCATAGAGGCTCTTCTTCAATTTGTAGATCGAACCTTCTTTGCCTGAAACATTGTAACATTCTGGTTGCACCATATATAGCTCATCCAGATCTCCATGTAAGAAAACTGTTTTTATATTCATATGCTTCAGATGTTGATCTTTTGCTACCAAACTCAGCACAACCCTGACAGTCGTCATCTTTACCACTGGGGAGAAGTTCTCTGAGTAATCTGCTCATTCCCTTTGCTGAAAACTCTTCGCAACAAGTCTTGCCTTGTAGCGTTTGCTGTCATCTGTCTCCTCTTTCAGTCTGTAGATCCATCTGTTGTGTAGTGTTCTTTTGCCATTTGGTAGTATTGTCAAATCCCAATTCTGATTCGACTCCAAAGATTGTACTTCTTCATCCATAGTTATCTCCTACTTCCTTGAATCTTCAACTTGAGTGGCCTCAAAGCACTCTGGTTCACCACTATCAGTTAGTTACAATTAGTGTAAAGAATGAGAATACTTGTGTACGGGTCGTATCACTCTGCTAGATATTCTGACTTTTGTAGCAGATGACTGAGGAACTTCCAGTGCTCCTGCTGGTTGAACACTTGTTCTTTCTCCATCCTCCTGATCACCAGCGTCATCTATCTCCACATATCTGGATTCTTTAGAAGTAATTGACGGACTATCCCGAGTTCTTACTCTGTTCTTGTACATCTCCATCTCATTGAATGTGACTCACCTGCTTCTGATGAATTACTGATTCTGATAATCCCTGAACTTATACCCAAATTCATCTGAGCCATGTCCAATCAAGGTGCACTTGACAGATTTCGAGTCAAACTTGCTTCTGGTCCCTACATCAACATGCACATATTCAGAATACCCAAATACTCTTAAGTAAAACAGACACACTTTTTTGTCACTCCAGCTTTTTTCAGGTAAGCCTTCCTCCAAAGATACTAATAGATTATGACTGATTAGATAAGCTTTAGTGTTCACTGTTTCAGCCTAAAACTATTTTGGCAAAGCCTGCATGCAGTCTCATACTTCTAGCACGCTTCATGATTGTTCTGTTCATGCGTTCAACCACGCCATTATGATCTGGTGTCCTTGGGGCAGGGAACTCATGCTTGACTCCCTCTGTAGCACATAAATTCTCAAACTTATGATCACGATACTCGCTCACATTATTTGATTTGAGACATTTTGGTTAAAGCCTGCCTCAATTTCTACCATAACCTTCCACTTCTTACAGACTTCAAATACATCAAATTTTTTCTTTAAGAAATAAACCCATACAAGTGTGACCATCAATAAACGTGACAAAATAGCGACAACCTCCAATGGATTGAACTGGAATCCCACACATTATTATGCACTAACTCCAGTTTCTTTGATTTCACCACTGACTTGCTCTTGGAGAAAGAAACATTCTTTTGTTTGCTATATATACTATCTTCACAAAAATCCGATCAAATGACTTCAAACCCTGAAGTTTATTCTTCGAAAGTAGGGACTTTATACTTTTCTCGCTCATATGACCAATCTACGATGCCACAGACCTGCATCCACCGTGGTCCTAGCCACATCAATGAAATCAGTCTTTTCATGGATCAGATAAACAGTTCCTTCTATGTTGGCCCGAGCCATCACTACACCTTCCACGAATCACTCGTGAAATTTGTTACGTGCCTTGACTTTACCAACTGACTTACAAAGATGAGATTTCTCTTCAAACTTGGAACATGTCTAACTTCAGTAAACTTCCAGACTTTTCCATTTGACAACTTGATATCAACATCACCCTTTCCTACAATACTGCAGGCCTTGTTATCTCCCAAATAAATCTTACCTAGATCACTCTGAATGTAGTTTTTAAATACTTCTTTATTGGGGCAAACATGAAAAGAAGCACTTAAATCTAATGTCCAGGATTCAGTACTGACCATGCATAACACCAGAGAATCATTTTGAATTTCACCAGTGGAGATATTAGTAGAGAAATTACTTTTCTGTCCTCAACCACCAGGTTTTCTTGAAGCTTTGCAGTCTTTCTTGAAATGCCCTTTCTTATCGCATTTGCAATATTACCCTCTGTCTGATTTGGACTTTCTTTTCTTGGACTTGGATCTGCCTCTACCTGTATTACCGCCTAGAGACATTCCTCTGTTATCAACATTCAATGCAAATTCTGAAGATTCACCATTTACAACTTTTCTGCGAACTTTTTCATTCAGTATCAGAATCACGATATCATCAAAGTTCAACTTCAAATTCTTTGAAGAATTACTCATCGTAGTTATCAAGCCATTCCAGCTGTCCGACAATGAAGATAGTATCATTAGTGCTCTGACTTTATCATCAAACATGATCCCCATAAAACAAAACTGGCTTGTTATAGTATTAAAGTTATTGATATGCTCTGCCACAGAATTGGCTTCCACCATCTTCATATTGAATAATTTATTCATTAGAAAAACTTTATTGGAAGCATAAAGTTTTTCATACGTCTTGGCCAGTGCCGCCATGAGATCCACCATAGTTTTATTATTCACAATGTTGAATGCAACAGATGAGAAAAGTGATAACCTAATAAAACCTAGTGTCATTCGATCCAACACTTCTTATTATGTCATAGGCATAGATTTAAGTTTCTTTGTAATTCCTTGTAGTAGCAAGTATAATCTTTTCTGACACAACAATTCTCAATCTGCATCTTCCAGAAAGCGAAGTTCGTCCCATTAAACTTCTCCACCTTAAACCTTACTTCTTTGGTCATTGCTCCCACTCAAATTGAACCCTATTGGTACCAGTTTGTTAGGAAATCTCCAATGAATAATTCCCAACTTTAGTGGGGATTAGGATCAATTAGAAACTAAATCACACCACGTAATTAAAAAAAAATCAGAACAAAATTGAACAGAAAGCACAATCAAAGCAACAAAAAACACATGAGAATTTTATGTGGAAAACTCTTAGAACTGGGAAAAACCAAGGAGCCACGACATAAAAAATTTCACTATGAAATTCAGAAGCCTTTACAAAGAACTCACACAAGTTCTCTCCACACAAAAAAAAATATACAGGACTTATTCCACAATCTCCCCTCTCTGATCCAATGCAAGAATCACATCGAATTACTGCAATCCACTTCTTCGACACTTCTTATCGTCACTGGGATGTTCGTCGAAGAATACAGAAGGAAGAAACACCAAAACCATCAGGCACTGCTTTAAATTGAGATTAAAAACTAAAATCTCAAGACAAATTACTCTTGGTGTTTAGGCGTTCAGACTTGGTGCCTAAGCGCCAAGCTCTCTGAAAGCATAACCCGTGCCCAACAAAACGGCTGACACAAAAACGCCGGCTTCTCTGTTCCGCCCAAAATTGGGCGCAAAAGCACCCCCTTCAGAAGCAGTGTCCAGCAATGGCGCTTAGGCGTCCAAACCCAACGCTTAGCCACAGGGTTCTGGGGTGCTTTTGGCTCCACAAACACAATGCCTTGATGCATTCGTGGTGTGTTTATTAATGGTATTTTGTGGGTATTTCATTCATTATTATTAATGTTTTAGAATATTCTTCATAGTAAATATGAGCTATGCAAATCACTCTCTTAATTGAACTAGATTGGATAATATTGCCTTTTGGCTAACCCAACTATTGTGGTTGGATCGAATTCAAGAGGAAAATGGTGGTGGTTTTCCAGTGATTGCCGTTATCATTGTCTTTGATTGATGATTTGAATATGCCATCTTAGAAATCATGTTGCCACAAGTTCAATGGATGTATCGTCGCAATTTCAATGGCCATTTTAGGATTGTCATTCTAATATAGGGCAGCAAAAAAACAATGTTAAAATGTTACATTTTTCGTATGAAAATATTCTGGAGAGCAATCATTTGCTATAAATAGCTCACGAAATACGTTTCTAGTTGTCATAGTTATTCCATGAGGCAAGAAAGTTGACAACTTATTTGCACTGTAACAAGCACACACTCGAGTGATGCTTATGCAGAGGACCTAACAGACTTGGCGGCCAATGGGTGTGACAACAACAGCAGCAACTGTTTCCTTCCTCGGAAGCAGGAAATTGTGAGAAAGCAGTCCGACTAGAATCGGGCCGTTCCATGTAGATTTATCCCATCTTGGCTTATTTGACCTTCAAAGTTTATTTATTTATTTATTCTTTATTTTGGAAGATTTACATACATAGCACTGAATTTATATTTATTTACATATGTAACACCTAAAATTCAATTTTTACATGTCACTTCACCTATGCATCAACAAGGTGTATTTTACTTTTTAAAAGTTAAAATACTGATATTTCTAATGTCAAATGAAAGCTTTGAGTGGTATAAATGTAAAATACAAAGTTTGGGTAATAGATTTGTAAATACATAGGAGTTGGGAGTTAGTATGTAAATGCCCCCTTTTTGGTTGCTGATGCTTCAATCACAACGAGACAGTTTATTTGGCTATGTGTTCCAAGTTTATTTGATGTTTGATGAATTTTTATGCTAAATTTAGCTGGATCTTACTCAAATCATGTCAACATGCATGACTTGCATTAAAATTTATGCTCAATAAATAAAAATGCGATTTTTATGATCTCTACAATCAGTAATATACAACTAATCACCCATTGCTCGTTTCCTTTCTCGCAAAATCCTATGACCCAAACAGCAACCATTTGTTCCACAAGAAACATTCAGCTGCAACCTTTTGAAAACTTTCAGGTATTGGCATACTTACTGATGTCTGCATCTTCGTCAGCAGCCGCTCGAATTGATGACTGGACCTCCATGTTTGGCAGTGATATGTTCACCAACATGTTGATTGGCTCAATTGCGGCCTCTTTCGCCGCCTTCTTGGCTTTCGCTATCAGCTCCATTATTTCTGCTTTCAAGCTCTTCAGCTTGAATCCTTAGACAGCACACAACAATGCCTGTATAGAAGTAAGCTTTTTGTTTATCAGTATCCTGTTGTTGCTAAGGAACATAATCTTATCCTCTAGAGTGAATCGACTTTTTGCAAATGCCCCATTTTATTGGTTCTAAATAGAAAACATGCAGATGTCCAAAATGATTCAATTTTGTCAAGTTTCAACATTTTATTGGCTGTAATTAACCAAAGATCATAAATGTTGAAATTATTTTTAGTTAACTTGTGATTTGAAATTCTTATAAAGTTGCATCTGACCAAATATTCGAATTAAATTTAGAAATTTGAAAGATATTAATTTACTCTCTTATAAATTTTAATTTGCATCTCTGCCCTGCGTATATATTGCAGGCTTATTTGCGTTCAACACATGTCTCAAATGGTCGTTAACAAATATACCCGTCATGGTTAACTCTAAGCCTCAGACCGAGTCGTGATATTTACCATTTTGTCCAATTGGATGCCATGGTACTCAGAGTCACATTCCACTGTCTAGAGCACTCAATGAATTCTTTTGGATCCTTGCTAACGTAAAACTCAGTAAATCTACCTTTGTTTTTGCTTCTCCACTCTGACATTTCATGCCAAATATTCTTGGTAGTGCTTCTTCATCCTTATACTCCACCTAATGGAAGGGATTCACCCCATTCCTTCCATCTGGAAAGTCATCATTATCGCTACTAGTTACCCTCCAGATTATCTCAACTTGACGGCGATGAGCCTTTGTTGTAGTTGGAGGATTTTCGGTGCATCTATTTCATGGTAAGTTTTTGAGCATCTCTTATATTTCTCATAAGCGACATTATGACATTTTA